TATTCTCATTCTATTCTATTATTTTATTCTATTATTCTATCCTATCCTATCCTATATTCAACAGCTAAATTGGTTTTACGTTCTGTAAGATGCCTTGAGTCACCAAGGGCGAATAGGTGGCAATATAAATTCAATAAATAAAAAATGGCCATCTGTAAGTTAAGCAAACTTGGTGTATGAAGTGACAGTGGGACAAGTTTTCTATTTAGGTAGTCTTTGACTTACAACTATTCATTTAGTAACCGTTCAAAGTAACAATTGCAGAGAAAAAGTGGCTTATGACCGGTTTTCACACTTATAACCATGGCAACATCCCTACAGTCACATGATCAAAATTCAGACGCTTGGCAGCTGGCCTGTATTTGTGACAGTTGCAATCCCCTTTTGTAACGTGCCCAGACAGCTTCTGACAAACAAAGTCAATGTGGGAAGCCAGATTCGCTTAAGGACCCCCTGATTCACTTAAGAACGGCCATGATTTGCTTAACCAAGCAAGTGGCAACCAAGGTTGTAAAATGGGGCAAAACTCACTTAACAATTGCCTTGCATAGCAACAGAAGTTTTCAGGCTCCATTGTGGTCGTAAGTCGAGGACTAACTACAGAAAAAGTGCAAAACTCTAGATTCAGGTCTGGTGCTCAAGGCAATGCTTGGTTTTGAAGCTCTGGCTGGCTGGGGCCAATGGGCATCGGAGTATGACATGTCTGGAGAACCCAGATGAGTGGCAGTTGCCTGGAGGCAAATTTCTCTTGCGCCAGGCTGCAGTAGGCAGGTTTAGATAGATAGGTAGATAGATTTTTTTTTTCATGGAAATCTGTAAATCTTTGCAAGCTTAAATTCTGCCCATCCGGTTTTCATCTTTGCCGGTTGTCATGTGAATTCCTATGCTCCATCCAAGCTTCCCACGCATGTACTTTACTGTCTTGAAGCCATCTTCAGTGTTTTTCCACCCACGCACCCATCCTAATAATTCCCTTGCCATCTTAACACACACACACACACACACACACACACACACCTTATATCAGGTCTGAACTGCAAAATGCTCAGGATCCCCCAGATGGCAGCAAAGGGCCATGGTTTTCTGTATCTCTATGCTGCCATCTAGTGGCAATCTGGATTTCTGCACCCTGGATTGGATCGTACTGCAATTTGCTTCCACCCAAATCGCTCCTCCGTTCGATTGCCCACCAGTGAATCTGGTAGGATCATAGTTCCCAGCCATCTCCTTAGGATTTTTTTTTCTTGGAATTCTGGGAGTTTTTGCTCTAACGTTGTGGAAGGCGCCCAGTTGGAGATGGAGCAACATGGGCTTTCAAAGGAAAGCTGTTGGAAGCCTTGGAGATCTGGATACAAAAATCTGGCATCCCGCAGACCTGTGAGACTACAATTTCCAGCACCCTCTTGGGAATTCTGGGAATTGTGGCTCCAATATCTGGAGGGCACCTAGTTGGAGATGGAGTCGAACAGGAATTCAGGGGAAACCTAGATCCATACTACAACAACATACTATGTACAAGACTATAACTCCCAGCACCCCCTTAGCATTCTTCTCAGAACTGCAGGAGTTTGTTGCTTCCCAGTCAGGAGGGTGCCCAGTTGAAGATGGACTGTGGCAGGAATTGTGAGAAAACTTTTGGAAGCCTTGCAAAAACCTGCCAGCACACAAAACTACAACTCCCAGACCCCCTTGGGATTCCCTTGGAATTCTGGGAGCTGCCGCTCTACACTTTCGGAAGACGCCCGAAGGGTAGCCTTTGCTTGCTCCCGCCCAGTTTTCTAAGCCCCGCCTCCCGCGCTCTCGCGACCAATCCTTTAATTTCCCGCCACTTTCTCAAGCGGGGGGAGGGATGGTTGAAAAGTGTCGCGCATGCGCGCTACGGCGAGTCCTCTGAGGGAGGTGTTTCTCCGCTGTTCAGTTACGTTACAAACCCGCACTATAAACGCACACGCACACAAAAATACGGATCGATGCGGCGTTGTAGCAACGCAAAGAGGCGGCCTGCTTGGTCTCTCACCCTTGTGTTCCCACCCCCACACCTCAGAATGAGTTGGAGTTAATTCCCATCATCCTGAGGGCCACGCTGAGGACGAAGATGTCTGTAGTCCAGCAATGAAGGGAAAAAAATTATTTATTGATTTGGGAGGGGGAGGTTTCCCCTCAAAATTAACCACCTGCCTTCCCTGTCACTTGACTTCGATGGCAGCTGAGGTGAACGAACCTCATTTATAGGCTGGCCTAGGCAGGGAATTCTCAAAGGGGTTAAAAAAAAAGCCATTAAACTGGGTTATATAACCTTGTTAGAATCATGGTTTCCATCTGGGTGGAGTGACTCACTGAACTGAGGGGGATTTGAGGCTGAATAACTAGGAGCCTTTTTATTTTCTAAGACTTCCTCAGTGTTTCATTAATTCCCTTTCCCTTTTTCCCTCTTTTTTCTCTAATCCTTTCCCTTCCCCTCTTCTATTTTCCTTTTGTTTTATGCCCATTTTCCTTCCTTTTTTCTCTTCCCTCCCTCCCTCTTATTTATATAGTATGTAAATATATACTGTCAAATCAATACAGATACATCAAATAAGCAATTAAATATCCATAATGGTTAAGCCATCCCTTAAAAAATGTAAATAATTCTAAAGCAACGCAGCTGCTTTTCAAGTGACAGCCATGGAAGGAGAAATTATAATGAAAGTGAATTTAAAAAAAGAATCGCACCAAAACCAAACAATATAATAATTAAATCAACATTGTTCAAAGAAAAATAATTTAAAGATGGCAGTAACTATTCAGAAACTTGTTTGGACAAGTTTCATCTTCATTATTATCTTGGATCTATAAGAAATTCTTTCCGTGTCCAACGTGATCTTAAATAGATGTTCATCCTCTTGTTCAGAGATTCCCCCCATTCAAAGCACAAATCCAGTGTAGTCTTAAGAGAAACCCCTATAAATCCTCGTTATTTTCATGCTGCTTCTGCCCTCAAATCAGATTTGAAATGTGAAAGTCATCCTGGAGTCACAAGATGGTAAAAAAAAACCCACATAAATCCTTGACCTACTGCTTGAATCCATGATTAAATCACATATAAATTGATTAGATTATAATTTATCATACTTTTAACAATAGTGGGAATGTCGTGATAATGAAGAAAGATTTGAGCTGCAGTTTTCATGATTTTTACGTTAAAGAACCTCCTGCCTTAATCTTGCATCAGTGTCTTTATATCGAGCAGCCCAAACTCAGATTCACCATGCCCTGGGTGCAAATACCTGGCTCTCCAGTTGAGACCCCATAAACCCCCTAATTAATTCCTAAAAGTCTTTAAAAGTATTGCTTCACTACAGTTGGCAACCAAATTTAAAGACTACAGTTTTCTTTCTCAGCCTGATTTCCAGATAAACTGGATTTCAGTTCTCCTAATCCCTAACCACCATAGCCAAAGGATTAGATTCAGAGATTATATACTACCAAGCCAACCCCCCCCCCCCCCCAAAAAAGAACCTGGTTTGGCAAAAAATAGAATGTCTTTGTTTTATACAGTAATGTCAAAAAAGTGAAGATCACTGATGGTCATCAATCTCTAGTCAGAACTGGCAGTAAAAGGAAGAAAATAAATTAAAATAAAATGGGAGAAACCCAGAGTGACTAGAAGAAGCAATGGTTGGGGCATAAAACAGGATTTCATGATAAAAGTGATGCATTCTGCTGCCTGGGACATGTTGGTGTTATGAAACCATTATTATGATGCCATAGCTTTGATATATGGCAATTCATCTTAATATCTATATCTCTGTTCTTTTCCTTCCCTGCTATGGGTCCAAGCCAAGAAATGAAGCAAGACCCGCCTCCCTTCATACTTAGATTTTTTTTTTCTTCTCATTTTCTTTCTCCTTTTCACGTTTCTGAAGTCCACAATATTTTGATGGAATAATATTTTATTTATTTGTTGAACTCAGTGAATATTCATTAATAGTGAGTATGCAGTGGGAAAGTATAAGTCAATCAGAATAGAGCTGGAAGGCACCTTTGAGGTCATTTAGTCCAAGCAGGAGAACCTGTTCTATACCATTTCAGACAAGTGACTGTCCAATCTCTTCTTTAAAACCTCCAGTGATGAAGCACCCACAACTTCTGACAACAAGCTGTTCTACTGGTTAATTGTTCTCACTGTTAGGAAATTTATCCTTAATTCCAGGTTGTTTCTCTCCTTGATTAGTTTCCATCCATCCACTGCATCTATTGGCCTAATATAGTTGCAATCATCCTTTTTCAGTCCGTATAAGACCAGTCCGTACAGTAATACTCAGATAAAGATGGTGATGATACTTTACTTTCTGCCTCCCTTAAAGAAAGGATTATTTTTTAAAGAAAGGATTATTTTTTAAAGAAAGGATTATGTGGGTAAAGAAAGGGTAAAGAAACTAACATAGTCAACATTTAACCAATTTAGTAACACTAACACAATCTTTGATATAAATGTATCCTTCAGTTGCTTATATTTTCTCTGCCAGTCCCTTGGTATTTCACCTTTGTTTCCAATCCAATATATCTATCCAACCTTGTCTAAATGCCTGCTTCCCACCCACCCCTTTCTCTTCCTCTATTTTTATAATTCATTTGCTTATTTTAATTTAACTTTCTACTTTTCCATCCATCCAATTCTTTTTATAACATCTTTTTAAAAATTTCAATACAGAATATAAACTGACAACCAATATTTAGAAGAAGAAAAAGAGGAGCAAAGACCAAAAGGCAGAAATAAAAAAGTCAGTTTCAATTTTCTTTTACTGCAGTTAAAAGTATAAAATAACCTCTTATTCTGTTACAGCATTATTGATATTTTTAATAATATTGTATTTTTATTCTAATCCTCAAAAACATATATTTTTCTGTTTCCCGCAAAAATTCAAATTCAATTACAATTCTTTCTAGAAAACCATCTGACACATCCTTATTCACAATAAAAGCTGAGAAAAATCTACCTTACCTTTCTGCCTTGCAGCATGGATTGGTTTCATTGCAATCAGTGCTTCAGCCAAGAGAAATCTGACTTTTTGGTTACTAGTTGTAGACACATATTTTGCAAAGAATGTGCTGGTACAGGTAAGTATGAAGTGGATTTTTCTACTTTACAGGCTTTTTTGTGTGTGTGCCACACAGCACAAAAGGGGAGTAAAAGTCAAAGAAATAAAAATGACGTCTCCTTCAAATGTGCCTGACTTCTGATGACCTATTGGACACTTGTGTGTCATTTCCTTGATAACAGTACAGATGTTTTTGCCACATTCTAGATTGATCTACAACTCTGAGATTTCTGATGGCTTCCTATCAAAATGCCATCCAGCCCCAAACCTCCTTCACATATAGAGATCAGCCAAAATCTTTTTACAGAGAATATAAACAAAAATTGGCTTGCTAATTTTAGAAAAATCATTCATTTTGCTATTTCAGACATTATTATATATGAAACGTTTCAATGTTATAGTAACATTTTACGTTTTAATCTTGTTAGATAAATGCCCTTCTTGTGGAACAAGCTGCAAATATTTGTCTCTTAAGGATAATGTAAGTTCTGGTTTCTGTAAGAAATATTATTTATTTTCTTTTCAGTGTCTCTGAACTCAGACTTTGTATTCCAACTTATTGGATGAATGTGTCAAATATTTAATTTTAACCAAATACCAGTAGTGAGCAGGATTTAAAAAAAAAACGAGTGTTAAACAATGAGTTTAATAGAGCTCTGACATTAGTAGAAAGTGGATAAATATTAATTTATAAGAAGCCAAACAAAAGATATTTCTTGAAAACTTGAGAATGATTTATTATGTACTTTTAATTTGTAAAAATAATTTCAGCTACCTGGCAATCGGGATCTCATTATGTATCCCAATTATGGAGAAAAGTACAGTATTCAAATACTGCCCATCAATGCTGTGTACTGAATTACATGGAATCAGTCACTATAATGTATTTTAGAAGGCTTCTATAAAGTTAGGTGAGAGAAGAAAATTTTTTTTTTAAAATTACTTATTTCAGAATATTTTTCCTGCTCTTTTTCAATACTCCAAAAGTGGTATTCTTCATACTACATTACTTTCAGTTCCTTAGAAGAAAGGCAGTTTTTATATAATTTTTTATTTTTATATAAATAAAAAATGAAAAAAATAATCAAAATCATACGCACAAGAATTCAGAATGACCGAGTAGCAGCTAGACATATTTCAATTGGTGAAATGATATTGGAAAGGTATTTCAGATATACAACCAATTAAATAAACTCTGAAAAATTCAATATGTTTCTCCTTTTAGATTATAAACGATTTAACTCTTATCTACCCTTTGTTTGCTTTTCTGTCTTCAGATAAAACAAGAAGAAAAGAAGTTTGTCAAAAACCCTGTTGAAACAGCACTCAACTATATTGCTCATATCTCTCAGGTAAGAAACCATTTGGGGTTATATTCCCATAAATTTTAGTTGTGAAAAAGGGGAACAGTGATTAAAACAGGTATGTAATACTTAAGTTATTCTGACCCACTTAAAGTGTTTGGAGGCATGCCCACCCTGTAGAAAACATGAATGAATCACTTCCCTAGTCAAACATGTTCCCTAAAATTAAGGTACATTTTATTCCATTTTTAATAGCTGTTACATGATAGATGAATGATCCAAGGTCCGCTAGGATTGGTTAATAACCAATCTGGGGAAAGGTTAATTCTGTAGTAATGGTGATCCCAGGTTTGCCAAGTAAGCTAATTAATTACAACAATAAATCTAGATAAAAGAGCCAGATAAATATTGTGACGAGCTAGTTAATCAGCAGAAGAAATTTCAGCAGAATCAGCGATACCTGAGCATTAAAATCCACCATGATAATCCTCATCCTAATCCCATCTCTTAAACTAGATAGCCTAGTGCTCAGATGAAGAGGAGGGGAGGAACCTTTAAAGATGAAATGGATCTGTATTTTATTCTACCTCCATTAAAAATGTTTTTATTTATTTTCTTACAATTATATCACTTAATTGAACTTAACAAAGTTTGCAACTATTCTTCATTAGATCCAGAAAATGGGCAAAACTGTTACCTTGTGTTCAATATTCTGCATAGGAGCCTCTGGCAGAAGTATCCTGCAGTTCTAAAATCCTTGGATAACAGACAGATCATCCTTACTCAGCCAGTGACAAAAGGCTTTCTTTTCTATGTTTGTTTGTGCTAGACTGAGAAATACTATATAATCTTGATTTTCATAACGAAAGTTTGGCCTCCTGGGGGTTAAAAAGAAAGGATGATTGAGAACAGCAATCCATGTAATTTCCATATAATCACATAAATCTCCTTGTCATCTCAATAACTTGATCTGCGAGAAGAGAAACAAACTTGAAAAAACATCAGAAGTTCAGTCCTGAGAATGATGCAGACACACATATGTGCAGATACCGGTTTAGATAACATTGCCTTATTTTCATTCATTAATATGAATGCTTATACATCACATTTTAAAATAGAAATTTCCTAGTACAGTTTACAAAAGAAGTAAGTATTATATATAATTAATTACAATAGTGATAAAACAGCCTCTGCATCCCTTATGTTTTAAACCAGTGGTTCCCAAACTTTTTCAGTCCACCGCCCCCCTGGTGCTAGAAACTCATCCTTGGTGCCTCCCACCCAGGGGTGGGATTCAAATTTCTGTGGGTGTGGCCTAATTTGAGGGTGTGGTTTACTGGTCATGTGACTGGGTGGGCGTTGCTGGTCATGTGACTGGGTGGGCATGGCTTGGTGGTCACATGACTGGCTGGCATGGCTTGCTGGCTGGGCGTGGCTTGGTGGTCACATGATCAGGTAGGTGTGGTTTAGTGGTCATGTGACTGGGTGGGCATGACCAGGTGGCTAGCAAACCAAATACAAATGGTCCTCACTTAATGGCCAGTTCCTTAGCAAGTGTTCTAATTTATGACTGGCCTCCCCAGAGCTACTTGACCTATTTTTGGAGTTTTTTTTTTAAATAAAGTTTTATTTGGGTTTTCACACACAAAATACAAGTAAATCATCTTTTTTGAAAATAGCATGGTCCCGGGTTGAACTTCTTTATACAGACACAAAACTCAATTTCATGCTCCTTTTTGTATTCTATTCTATATCTTATACTATTTTACACTTTCTATATAGTTTTCCCCCTCGTTTAATTTTCTCAATTTTATTTTGATTATCTCATCTCAATTCAAATCATTATATTTATACTTTTGTCTGTTCTGTTTCAATTTCATATTATCTTTTCTCATTAAACAAATTTTCTCCTGTAGTTACTATTTGGAGTATGACACCTTTATATCTTTTAATTACATCCATTCAACTCTTATTTAAACTTCAATATATACCTTAAGTTTATGACCTTCAATATAATACATAATACATAACTTCCAATCGAATTCTGCTTGGCACATTCTTATAATACACACTATATTCTTTTAAAAAAAGAAAGATTGTAAATATATGTAATTATAAACCCTCATTCCATTCCAGTTCAGTTCTATCATTAATAATCATTAAAATCTTAACATCTTTAACACTTCTTTTCAATTAAATATCATACTTCCTTAAAAACACATATAATCTCCATAATTAATTTTTCCCTTATATCTCTTTACATGTGTTTTATAAATCATTAAATATACCTTTTGCTACATTTATTTATTGACAAGCATTCCACTGAATTACGATAGCTATTTTATCAGACATTTTAATCATACATTGTTTCATATTTTCTAAAATTATTTCTCCTTCTAATATAACCATACTATCTTATGTACCTTTGCAGAATCCCTTTTTCCATTAAGTTTTCACCCATTATCTCTAAATAGGCCCTGTTTCTCTATATTTTGCTTCTGTCCTTTATAACTTCTTTTCCTTTCTTCCCTCTCATCTTCTCCCTCCCCTTTTTACCCCCTTGTCTCTCTAGTTCTAATTCTCTCTTCTGCATTTCCCTCTTCTGTTGCTTTCTGGTTTTATACTTATTTTTCACTCTGTTTTTTTTTTTTTTGGAGTTGTTTTTCCCAATCTTAAACTTTCCATTCTCTTTCCCCCCTTTCCTTTTTTCCCCCATCTAAGATTACTTGTTCATTAAAGATGGCTTCTTCTTTGTTGCAATCTTCTTGTCTGCAGGCATTTCTTGTTGTTTCTCATAATTCCAAATCTCCATTTCTAAAAACTGAAATACGAAGCCAAAAGAACCTCTCCCTTCTTGTGCATCTTCTTTGTACTTTTTAAGTTCCATTTTCAGTTCTTCTAAAAGTGGAGCCATTTTAAACAGTTTTAAACAACCACCCGATTGATTTTAGTCATTCAAAACAATAACCAAGAATCCAGAAATCATCAAGTAATCCAGATAGTCCCGAGTTATATCTTCTTATTTCTTTTTCGACTTTCTCTTCCTGGGGTTTTGGTTGCAATATTTCAGTTAGAATGTATCTTTTGGAAGTCTTGTTGAGATTTTGCTGTAAGTGCTTTTTAATTCCAGGCAGTCTCCTCCCTTCCAGATCCTGCCCTTTTATTCTTTTTCTCTCCTTTCCTGTTTTCAAAAGCTTTTAATTATCCAGAAATCTTTATTATCCCTTTGACTTTTTATTTTCAGCATTAAATGCCTATTGATGTCAAAGTGGATTTTTTTCCAATTTCTTGCTTAAGTCTCTCAGCTGTCAGTATAGGAAAAGGAGAAAACCAAATCTTTTCCCTTTTCTCTCTCCTTCGCAGCTTAAAAATCTTCTTAGGAAACAATGTTATTGTTTTTTAACAGTTTCAATTCCAGGGTACCTTATCTGTTGCTTTTGCTGTTTGACCCGATAAACCAAAACTTTCTCTTCTTATCTTCCTCCTGCACATTCTTTTCCAGTCGAGTTCTTCTTTGTGGTGGCCATTTCTGACCACCGCTGCAACCGCCTTTCGGGAAAGTGAGTAATGGCCAGCTGGGGAGGAGAGATGCGGCTCTCCTCAACCCTGCTGGCAGTCTCCCCCCTCTTTACCACCTCTACGAGGGTGGCTTAGCCCCGAAACCAGCCGGCTCGGGGCACTCCAGTGGCGAGCACGGATCGAAGCCTCGCAGAGACGAGGTTTTGATCTGTCGCTGAAGAAGCTGAAACCGGAAGTCCAACCTGTTTTTGGAGTTTTGACAGCCATGCATTCACATACACACACGCTCCCTTCTAACCCTGCTGAAGCAGGTCATTAGACTAGAATTGGCAAAACATCTATGATTCGATTCTAGAAGTGAATAGAATCTAATCAGAGATGCTTTGCTGATTCTTGTTGATTTGTTTTATTTGTATTTATTTATTTTATGTTGCTGAATTGCATTGACATGTGTGTCCCTTCTTGTGCACAGCCCAGAAGCTTTTGTGATTCTTTGCAGCAAAAATTACCAACCTCTGGCTTTGCGCTACTTTTCAAATATGTTGCCACTGCTGAGTTCTAGGTGCCACCCCCACAGGTGCACCCCATTGAGCCCGCTGCACTGGAGAGACCTGCCCAAGCAAGTACGAGTGGAACGGTGTACCAAGTCAATTGGGTGAGCCTGAGAGAGGGAAAGAGAGAGAAAAGAAAGAGAGAGAGAAAGAGAAGGAAGAAAAGGAAAAGGGAAAGAAAGAAAAAGGGACAAAGAAAGAGGGGGGATGGAAGGAAGGGGCAGAAAGAAAAAGAAATAAAGAAGGGAGGGAGGAGAAAGATGATATCTATTCTAGTCCAATCACCTGCTCCAGCAGGGTTAGAAGGGAGTGTGTGTGCATGTGTTCTCCTTGTAATTTACCAGTACATTTTGGTTTTGCCTTCTTCAAAATTGGCACTGTTATACATTGGGGAAAAGTAATTTTTAGGATGGAGGTCTGGTCAAATGGATCCTGTTTAAAGCCTCAACAAAATGTGAGAGCTTCCTGATAGTCTTGACCATGTTTCATCCACAAAACCTTTAACAGAAGCCAAAGATGTTTCAATGTGTTGGCAAAGATGTTTCAATGTGGAAAAGAGCCTCAGTCTAAATTAGGCCTCATTTCAATCTGAGGCATCAGGTCTCTCTCTCTCTCTCTCTCTCTCCCTCCCTCCCTCCCAGACAGGCTTTGCTCTACTTTCCCAATGTGCCTGCGGGGCCGGCACTTCGAACATGGATGGATGTATGGATGGATAGAGAAAGAGAGAGACAGAGAGAGACAGGTAGTTAGTTAGTTAGTTAGTTAGTTAGTTAGTTAGTTAGTTAGTTAGTTAGTTAGTTAGTTAGTTAGCTAGGTAGGTAGGTAGATAGGTAGGTAGGTAGATATATTGGTAGATAGGTAGGTAGATATATTGGTAGATAGGTAGGTAGGCAGGTATGTAGGTAGGCAGGCAGGCAGGCAAGCAGGAAGACAGACAGACCTTTTGTATGGATGTAAGGATAGGTAGGTAAATATGTAGATATGTAGATAGATAGATAGATAGATAGATAGATAGATAGATAGATAGATAGATAGATAGAT